AGAAAAGAGGAGACAAAACCTTTAGATACTAAAAATTGCCTATGCAGTACAAATATTGCTTTTGGTCATTCTAGGTTTACACTTAGATCAGGGGTCTTCAGTATGTGGTCCATGCAGCTATTGGGTGATTTTTGTTTAAATTTGGTAATAGTTTATTGGGAATCTTTTTTTAGAAGTGGTGTTGTAATTTATAAAATATATACTAAAATTGATGGTTAGAAATACATATTGAAAACCCCTTTTGTAGAGCATTAAGATGAAATGAATTATTCCAATGTTGAATAGTGAGAAGTGCATTTTACCATTTAGGAGAAATGATATTTTGACTAAGTTTTGCAACAAATCTTTGTAATTTTACTGTTTATCCATTTGGAATAGTCTGTTTTTAGAATAAGTACATTTTAAAAATGTATTATTTTATGTTTATGTATCACTTATTGAATTATAAAATTATGAATATTTAGAACTATGAATGTTTTATTTAATGAACGAATTTGAACTTTCTATTCTGCAGATAAAAAAGTATCTCTTAAAACTATAAAACTCTTATTTGATTTTACCATTTGCTGCTCTGTTTCTTTTGTTTAAGGAGAATGGTATAGTTACTAATTAATTATGAATTAATTGAAGTATAAAGTATATAGTCAGCTGGGGAAAAAAGACAAAATTGGTAGAAAGTTCAGTTGCAACATCTATTTAATTTGTTGTGCATATGGTAGGTTTGGTATAAACTATTATGCATATAAAGTAAATTCAATTTTGTATAAGAACTCACATTTATATATTGTTTTCTTTCCTGAGAAGAGGGTTAACTTAGTTGGGGTAAGAATTTTTTTTCTGCCTTTTAAACCAAATTAAAATATTTACATTTAATAAAACAAAGTAGACATCATTTCTATGGTATTTACTCATCATTTGTAGGGATTAAACAATACTTCTTAAAAGCATCATACACATCTGTGGCATACCAATATCTTGCTTCTTGTTGTGGGGGGCTTAGGAGATGAAGACTGCAGTCCAATGTAGGGATTGCCCCTACCTTGGACTTCTGCCCTCGACTAATTTTGCTTGGTTTTTTCATCTCCTTGCCTCTTCTGTATCTTCTTTATCCCCTTCTGTCCCATTCCTAAGGTGTAAAAGCCATGGGCACAGTATTCCCTTGGTTAATTGCCTAGCCCTTACCCCTTATGGGGATCCTGAGGGGTAGACCATTTCTTTTCCCCATTTCATTCAGGCTCACCATGGCCAGTAATGAAGATTTTTTACCCTTCCCCGTCACTGCCAGAAATGTTGCCGTTTTGTCCACCCAGCCAAACACTATCGCTCCACAGACCGCTGCCTTCTTTGTGCCCAACCTGGTCATGACTTCAAATTGCCCTGCTCAGTCACGTGTATGTACCCATCCCCTCCACTTTGTGTCGCACCAGACAACAAAACATAACATATTCACAAATGATCATTTAGTGCTGTTTCATAATAATTCTTTGCAGGACAAAATAAGCAATATTTAGGGGTTGGAGTACACCATTACAATGAGTTGAGAGTTTCATAATGGAAATGTTTTCCTTTTGAGCCAACTCAGTAGTAGCCACAGAAGTATAATTAATACACCCATCTAAAATTAAGGGATTCCTGTCTTTTGTTTCATGTACAAAATGCTTTAAAGAATCTTCAAAAATGCCTTGTCATCCAACCATCTGCAGATAATTGTATATTGTATGCCAGGGAGATCACAAGTTCCATTTCAAGTGCTTTGCATGTATTATTCTGTGAACACTACCTCGGGAGGGAGGATTGTACCATCAGCACAACACACCAACCAAATGTTGGGTAACATAAAGCACATACTGGAGTATTTAAAGCATGCCTCATGGGGTAATGAAAGGCAAACATTTCCAAATGTTAAAACAAAATGTTGGGTAGCCTATTTTCAGTACTTTGACTTCTCTTTAAGCCATACCTTTATAATCAGTGAATAATATGAAATTCATACTTAGTAACAATATTGTACTTTAAGACTATATCGTCAGTTTTTAAAAATTTTGCAGTATGGCTAGAAGGGAATGTTTTTTTCATACCCTCAAAAAGACATTTTCCCCCGGTTATTATAGTATCCCTCCTTTGATCCTAACACACTTGACATTATCAGTAAAAACTGATATATTGCAAATAAAAATGTAAGGAGTCATCATTGTATAGTTAAATTTGGAGAGTATTTGTGCATGAATGCATTCACATTTGTCTATCTGTTTATCCTCTGACTTTCTAGGAATACAGTAATTCAGTTTACAATAAACTTTTTGCTGGAGTGTTGAACTTAATTTAATTTCAAATATGATTTAATGCAGCTGTCAGTGTTAAAGGATCAATAAATGTATGTCAAGTAGTACCACTGTTTTTATTCTCTCTGGAATGGAATTTTTTTTATTGTAATTTGTCCTTATATTTTCAAATGAAGACCATGATCTTTGGATACAAGGCATATATGCATTTGAAAAGTTGCTTGTGAAAGCAAAATAAAACTTAATAGTCAAGAACCACTGCAAGAATGTTTCTGCATGCCTCAGCTTCAGATTAATCTTTGGATTCATAGATTTTAGGAACATTTGTTAAAAGGAACCCCCAATCCCAAGCTCGCTGAGAGGAGAGGAGGTTGAAAGTGAGGTCTAATGTTGGGGATTTTCCCCTGCCTTGTGCCTCAGCCTTGGCTCTATCTATATTGCATAATGTTTCTTCTTTTCTCCCAACCCTTCTCCTGTATATATCCTACACAAAGATCTGTGTGTGAAAGAAAAAAATGCTGGCTTTGGTTAGTCCTGAATGGCTCCATGGGCACAGTATACCTGTTTAGTCATTTAGTTATCTGTGAACTGTTTCTCTTCCCTACATACTCCAGGCTTACCCTAGCCAATAATGATTTTATACATTTATTTGGTGCATTAAGGCTTGCCCTTTTATTAGTGAGCCCCACTGACTTCTAACTTTTATGGTTCCCATACTACTGATCAGGAGTAAACACTGCTGAACAGTCCATTCCAAGTCACCCTCCCAGATCATTGCCCAAGCTTTAGAAAACATTTGTTTTTCCTATCTTCCTCCACTACTTACACTCCACACTGCTACCATACTCAACACTACTAATTCCTTTTCCTGTACTTGTCCATCTACTACTTCCACCTCTACAAAGCTCTAAGTACACTTTTTAGCCCAACTAAGTAGGATTGATTTTTGTGATAACCCCCCCCCCCCCATACAGCCCCTTACTCTAACAGTACCCTCCTCTTCTAACAATGTCTAAAAACAAGTAGGCAAAGCTTCCTTTTGCAGCTATCCTGACTGTTGTCGCCTGTCACAGTCACATCAGGTCCTAAGATTGTGCATTATCCACCCTGACTGCCTCACCATCAAACCTATTCCTGCCAGCTTCATGCCTCCCTTAATAATTGTATCAGAACTGTCTCCATCTCCAAAACAAATTGTCCTATCGGCGAGAATAATTGGTTAGACTGGAAACGAGGCTTATGATGCATTATTAGTACAATGTTACACTGTTCCCCAAAGAGGCTGCTATAAGTTATCCACCAATATTGCCAAAATTACTCTCCATAGACATGACCTTCCCCTTGATGTTTATATTGGTGGAGTCCTGCCCTGTCCTAACACACTGACCCCTACCCTGCCAATGTCACACATTGGCATCTTGGCCAACCTGCCAAACACTGTTACTCCACAGCTCACTGCACTGTATGTGCCCAACCTAGTCAAGATCACACACGTGTACTAATTGTGGTGGCTCCCATGTTGTATTTTATAGGAGCTGCCCTCAGTTCTCAGACAGGAAGCAGTTTTTCTCTAGCTCCCTACTCCAGTGCTGTCTAACATCTATTTGCTCTTTTCCCCTCTATAAGTCCTTCACTTCCCAGATCTTCCCAACCAACTCCCTTTCAGAAATTCTTGAGGATATTCAAGATATTCAAAACTATGCTTTTAGAAAAAACTGTTCCTCATCTACCCTCCAATCTCTGCTCAAATTTCCTCTATACGCATAGTGATTGCTGACATCTGTTCTCTTCCTACTTTCTACCCACCATCATTCTTCATTATCCCTTCCCTCCTGGATATTTATTTATAGGAAAATTTTTGTTGCATCATCTTCTAAGGTCATTAGTGGCATATACAAAATATAGCAATAGGGCGAGGCTTGGGGCTAAGCCCCCAGGTAAAGACGGTATTGTGTCAAAAAGTTTTTAAAATGAGTGAACAATTAGAACAATGTATGTTAGATGTCAAAGGATATAGAGTGCTGTAGGTTAGTATGGTGTGAAAAGGATAAAGAAAGGATAGCAAATAGAGTATGAAGATGTTCAGGACTGAGACAAAGCCAGCCTTTCATCCTTTCAGCATGGCTCTCACATTTTAAGGATATGGATAGGAGAGAAAAAAAAAGAAAGGTAAAGAAAAGACCATGCAAAATTATTTGAGGTGAGGGATGAGTTCATAGGCAGGAGTGATCCCCAACACTGGGCTTCAGTCCTCAGCTATGCCCCATAACAACAGGCATGAGATTAGAGTGGCTCTCCTGGATACATACTTAATTCCTTTATATCATAACAGTGCCCTTCCTAGTGTTCCTCCTTTCATTTTATCTCCTCCCCCTGATCCCGTCTCATTTCCTGGGTTCTTCTACTTCTCTGACACCCATTCATAACTCCTCTTTTATCTAATTGCCCTTTACACCCCCTTTCCCCTTTTGCTAATCCCTACCTTACCCACAAAATTTCACTTTTTCCTTTAACAACTTGTTTTCCCTCCCCAAACACTTGGATATCTTTCATTTGACCTAATTGCCCTTAACCCCTCTCCTTGCCCCTTTTTGCTAACCTTGCCTTAACCAATTTACTCACCTTCTCTACCCTAACCTCCCTTTACCCTTTCCAGTACCATACTATCCTAAACAGCTATACTTTTGACATGTAGCATATTTAAACCTATCATGACAG